TTTCATCCAAATATTGACGTTACTTTAGAAATTATTTAGAAAAAATAGAAATAAAAATGAAACTTCTGCACTCTGTATCTCCGAAACTAAGCCATTTTAGGACATACATTTTCCGGAATACAGTTCGGACAACCCTGTGTAATGAATCTTCTATGAATTCTAATAAAAATGTTTGCTCTTACCCTCAAAAAGTTGATTCATATTTGCCTCCTCTAATATTTTACCTATATCATTAACATCCTTAAGAATATCTTGAATTTCATCATAGTTCCTATTTTTTATAGCGACGCTCAGCCTAGTTAACTAAAAACATTTACAGAAATGTTAACTTCTCGTTATTTTATTTTTAATTTTTATTGTTAATCGTTTTTACAATATGATCAACCAGCCAGTAGAAATTATTTATTTCATTTATGTTCAATAGAGTGGCCGGTAGTAGCTCCAGCAGTAGTGTGTCTATCTGTGGTGCGAAAGGTACTGGGTTTGTTCCCCTGCCAGTACGGTAGTTTTATTTATTTAAAGTAGAAATATTTATTTATCTAAATAGAGCGACCAGCGGACCGCCATCACCACCAAAGGCAATGGCAAACCACCTTGAGTATATTTGCCTTGTGCCGCCTCCCAAATAGTGCCGTTCGGATTCTAAACTAGGATCTTTTTAACTCCAAGCTTGAGAATAATAAACATTACCAAGCAAATGTAAATAATCTGAATAAATTTATTTTAAGATGTGAAAATTTTATTGACAGCTATAAATCATTAAGAGATAAAAGTTTAAGTTTGCCACCAATATCATCTAAAACAGCTTTAATTCAAAGTTTTGCCTATCGGCGAGATTTAGATAGTCTTTTGCAGGAATTAACTAGGACATATCCATATAAAAATGAATCACTTTTAAATTTTGATTAAATTTTGAATGCGTCCGCTGCGAGCCGAAATTCTTAACATTTATGACGTCAGACCTCGTTTTCGCGCCAGGCGAATTTCAATAATTAATTTAAGTACTTTCCACATGGAATCTGTATAAATTGATTTTACATATACTCGTATATGTTATAGGTAAAGATGTATTAGAAATCATAAATATTTAAGTTTTACTCGACACGTGCACGGACCCCATTGTATTTTTTTTTGGGAAGTTTTGGACTAGTTCTGATTTATCTTGTTCCTTATATGTTTTGGGTCGCTGAATCCGAATCTGATGTTTGCTAACAAAATTTCGTGACGGAACACTGAAAAAAAATGCAAAAACGCAAAAAATTGCAGTTTTTGCGATTTTGCTTATAACTCCAAAAATGTGAAATTTTCAGAGATAATATTTCTATACAAAATAAAAGTATTCCTCCTCAGCTTCATGTGATACAATTTTTGCCTTTTCTGTGAGATAGTAGGCATTATAAAATCAGTAGTTAATATTGCAGCAGATTGGTTTCTTTGCATACTTGTCGATCTTTCTATCCTTAGTGTTACCGCAATCTTTTCAGTAGAGTAGCCATCAAAAATGACAAGAGAGAAAGGAAATAGGAACTAAGCTCGAACTGCGAAAATGTTTATCTGAATGTTTTACCATGGCAATTCTTTGGAAAAGTGTGGTTGGATTGCAATTGTTCTGTTTTCTATCTGCAGAGTCGGACTGGCCATATGGCTGACTATATAGTCAGGGTGGCGATTGCCAGCCGGGCCCCAGCCCTCGCGGGCTCTCCTGCCTTAGGACCTGCTTGCAAAACAATATCGAAATGAATTTATTTAGAGGTCATTGATATTTTACTATAAACTAGCTAAATATTTTTGAATATTATTTTTATTTTTTTGTTCTTTGACATTATAAACATTTATAAATGTTTATTTTAACAATAAGACTGACAATATTATTTGTATAATGTTTTGTTCTGTGTGGCTGTTGGTCTTTTGTTTGTTTGTTTGTGTACCTTGTTTTTTTTACTTTGTTTGTTAGTTTATCTTTGTCTACAAATTGAATTTTTTTTTGACAATAAAGACATATATTTATTTATTTATTTATTTATAATACAATTATGCCACTTAACTTTTTAGGCGTTACCATGAATTTGGTAATAATTGGTAGGTATACGAGGCGAAATAAAAGTATAAAATATTTACCTACCTTTTAAAAATGGGCAATTTTTCAAGTTTTAAAAATATTTTATTATAGACCAGCAGATTAAATAATATTTTGTTGTACTACTTATTTTTATCGCAATGGTACAATATTTACATTTGTATTGCATTACATTACGGACAGCTCCCTGATTTCAAACATTAACAATAAATTCATAAGGAAAAATTGTCCAAAACATAAGACGAGAAAATACGCAAAAATCCCCCGGGCCCCTCTTTACAATGCCATCCAGGCCCCTCTGGGCTTGTCCGACCCTGTACAGAGTTGTTCATTATTGCAAGAGGTTTTACTTTTTCACTTCATATTTAAATTTCATAGTTTAAGAATTACTGCCCATTAATGGGCTCTATACTTTGCTCTTTTAACAAGTGACAATGGATTCTTTCATCTGCAACTATACTAGTGCTCGCACATATTTTAAATATAATATAAATTTGATTTTTTTTATTATGGGAATGTGTATATTGTTGAAATTACTGTTTATATATCATTCAACTTAAAACTAAAAAAAAACAACGCATACTAGACGTTAATAATAAATTAAGAGTATTGGAGCACAAAAAGTAGATAGTTGCGGAAACACTAATTTTCATCAGGCTGTTGAGCTCGAACAGTTCTTCAGAGAAAAAGACATAGGACAGTATATTTACTTTAATTTTAAATATAAAGATTATTTACAAGAAGTTCATATTTTTGAAGTAATAAACAAAAAACCGCAAAAATTCAATTTTTTCCACTTTTTTGCATTTTTCTCCATGCAAACATCAGATTCGAATTCAGCACGCCAAAAAACACAATAAACAGAAGAAATCAGGACTACCCTAAAAACTTTTCTTCAAAAGGTTTTTTTAAGTACAAGGTGACAAGACTATCAGGACATTTCCGCCACATCTGCATCTGCAGAGAATATTTTTTGGTAGGAATTGCTGATCATTATTTTAACGATAAGTTTTCTGTATAAATTCTTGTTAATTGAAAATTATTCCTTTGTCCGATTTCGTACCGACAACATTCATTCTGTAACTTTTTAAATAAACAATTGTTTTTTAAAAGATTATCCTTCGGACAAACAAGATAATTGGCAGCTTGAAATCTTGTCAAATACTTCTTTTATGATAGCTAAACACAAAGCCAACTCTCAGCCGAATTGTTGTGGGAATTTAGCAACCTTTACGAAATAAAGATTAAAAAAAATGTTATTTTTTTAATTTAGATCTTCGATTTTTAATATTTGTCGAAAAAATCAGACACACGTAAACATCCTTTGGAAAAATATCACCTTCTACTTCAAAAATGGCAAAAGCCAGGGCTGTTACGATGTGTAAGATGCAACTACAAGTCATATTTGTTAAAATAAGTTTTTTAAGTGGTCATGTTGACTTAAAAACTAAAGCAGTGAGAGTATATTACTTCGGAGGATACACTTGAATAAGATAAGTACACATTTATTTATTTAGCGTATGGCGTACATGGATTTAATTACAACATCAAATGTATATATTCAAACACAATATAACATGTAAACAGATTGTCACAAATTGTAAAAATAAAAATAGATATTTAAAAAGTTATACACAAAACATATTACAAAAAGTACACTTAAATTTTAAAATCTAGGCTATTGATCCAGTTCAACACGGTGTCTGTGGCTTCAAAGAAATCACTGGCTTCTCCTCCATATGCTGTAAGAGGGCATTCAGTTACAATGTGATGAACAGTTTGACGTGGTTCTCCGCAGTCACAAGTTGGTGATCCGGCCAGTCCCCATTTATAAAAAGAATCACGACATATGCCATGAGACGTTCTTACCCTGTTGAGTACCTTCCACTCGTGGCGGGGCAGCTCCATCCCTGGTAGAGCTGCTGTAGGGTCGATGACATAAGCTGCTTGATCTGGTTTTAAAGAGTCCCAGTACTCCCTCCATTTATCATTTATACTGACGTTTTCTCCCAAAAGTTGTTCTGCTAATAGTAGTGCGGGGGATCTACCATACCCATACCGCCATTACTCGCTGACGAGTATTTGACACGCATCAGAAGATGGTCACGCAAGGCGTTTTCTTTCATGAGTTTTTCTGTGACTGAAAAGCCCGATACGTGATGTTATCTGTCTACCGCACTCCAGACATTCAAAAATCTCATCGCTTTGTTCCTCTTTTACTTTTTGGTTGTCGCTCTTAACTGACTTTACAATTTTTCTCCATTCCGTTCTATTGTGAGCTGCCTCTTCCCACTCATTCTGCTTGTTAATTCCCTTTAAGTTTTCGTGGAAAATATTCTTGAACCTTTTGAGTTGTCCACCCGGCCTCCTCTTACCGTCTACAAGCTCACCGTAAAGCAGAGTTTTTGGTATGCGGTTTTCTTGCATTCTGCATACGTGACCAGCCCATCTTAAGCGGGACTTTGTAATCATGGCTACAATACTCTCGCAGTTAGCGTTTTCAAGGATCGTTACGTTTGAGACGTGCTGGAACCATTTTATTCTTAAGAGTTGTCTAAGATGTCTCTGTTGCAACTTATTTAATGCGTTCATGTGTCGGCGGTACGGCACCCAAGTTTCGCTTCCATATAACATGGTGGGAATTATTATCGCTCGGTACACCGCAAGTTTCGTTTTTGTGCGCAAGTCATGATTGTAGAAAACCCTGTCTTTTAATTTCCAGAATGCTCTTGAGGCGCTGCTAACCCTGTGCTGAATTTCAGAGTCGATATTGGCCCTTTCCGAAATCAAACTGCCGAGGTAATTGAATTCCGCTACATATTCCAACAGTTCATCTCCGATTTTTATAGCATAGTTGTGATCTTCCGGGGGAGTGCACATGATTTTAGTTTTATCGATATTCAGCTTAAGGGGGGGGGGGCATACGAGGCCTTGGGGGATCTAGACTTCAGTCTTCGCAGACAGGCATCTGGCAAGTCATTGTGGACTGGAAGATGGGGATTTGATAATATTTTCTGATATTCCTTAACGAGTCTTTCCTGTCTTCGAATACTGGGAGGTGCAATATGACTCAGAGTGGGCAGCCAAGGTAGAGGTGTGCTTTTTAAACAGCCGCTGACTATTCTCATAGTCTCATTAAGTTTGGTGTCAATTATCTTTAGATGGCAGCTGTTTAGCCAAACTGGGGCGCAATATTCAGCAACTGAGTAAACTAGGCTGAGAGCTGATGTTTTAAGAGTGGATGCGTTTGCGCCCCAAGTAGTACCGCAAAGTTTGTGTATTATATTATTTCTAGTAGTAGAAATTTTACTGCTGTATATAGGTTATAAAAATTTACTGATTGTAATTGAACTGTAGATCCTGTATTATTAATCAGGTAAATGATGGAGATAAATTATTGTGCTTGATTACAATTTTATTTTAAGATAAACTTTTTTAAACTACAATCTCAAAAATCGAATAATGAATAATGACATATACAAACTAAAATATATAGGAAACTGAAATGATACCGTCTGTTGGAGAATTCAGTGGCGCCATGCATCGGGTCGTTACACAACTTATGATACAATTTTATTTTATTTTACAGGAAACTTTACATTTTAACTACATGTAACTATATTGTTGCGTCCACTCTAGCGCCATCTATTATCAATTTTTGGAACGTAATTTTTGTACAGAAAATAGATGATTTTTCTTCTATTTCCTATTTTTTAATAAGAATAAGTTACTCTAAATGCGACATCGCTCCATTATATCGTATTGTTCTCAAACAGGTGACGTTTCATTTAGAATTAACTTATCCTCATCAAAAAATATGAAATAGAGAGAAAAAACAGCTATAGTTAATAAAATAAGAATAATTAACTGTGTGTGTGTGTGTGTGTATGTGTGTGGATATGTTGAATAATTATTATTAGTAATAACTTTATTAAAAAAAGTAAATAATACAAATTATACAATAAATAAAATTTCTTCTTCAGACGAAGGCTCGCACGGCACTGCTATACTTAACTTGTTCATATAAATACAATAATAATTGTAAATCAATACAATAGCATTAAATAATATAAAATGCAACTAACAAAGTTTTGTCGCGAACTTATTCGATGCGTGGCGAAAAAATGTGAATTGGATCAATGGTATCTATGTATAAAAATGCAGACCCACGGATTAAAGCGAAGTAACGCGAAGAATCAAAATACACGCAATTAATCCAATGACATTTTGGCGCTTCGCAAAAGTTTAAAGCATGATGAGCACTTGAGCGAAGCGCGCCGAAGCCGAAGCCATGCGAAGCACTGTTTTTCGCACGCTATGGATAATTAAAATTGTTTTAACCTGACCTTTTTAATTTTAGTATTATGCGTAGAGAAATATTATCTATGTGACGATTTGATAAAAACAATGGATTCATAACGATAATATAAAAATGCCTTTTGTCTGCATTTTTTCTCAATTTCCACCCAGGTGTTGTCTCGTCTCAATTCATTATGATAATTTGGATTCTCAACATAACTCTTTGTAGCTCTGTATAATCATAATGAATGTTTCATCATCCTTGATCTCAGTAATTAAACTGAATTCACAGGTTGTACGATTCCTTTGCTATGCTTGAGATCTGAAACAAATAAATATGTATAATTATGTGACACATCAAAAAAACCTCGAGTATGGTTTATAGGAGGAAAAAATTAAAAGTTGATGCCATTGAAGGGCTCTAAATCTCAACAGAAATTGGCTATGAACTTTTTATCTTAGTCTTTAAGTTAACACAAGCATTATTTTTCATAAGAAATAATTATGGAGTTTATATGCCTTATAAAAGTAGGATTCAAAAACAATTGCTAATGAAGGAAATTTACATTTCTGAGTAGTATGCTCCACTTATTATATTTTTTAATTCTTACCTAACTTGGTTGTAAACAACTGCCTGGGTTAAATTCTTAAAAGAGGTCTTACAAGAGACAGATCTTATACCTCACTCACAAAAACTGCATCATCTGCACTCTGGAAGATCCTTTCTCTAAAATGATAGATACAATTTAAAAAATCTAAAACGATAATTTTAATAAAACTTTGGAATATCTAATAATTGAATCACTCTCTGCCAAATTAAAGTCGCCAGTGCCATAACTTGTTTATTTACAGTTCAATTAAAATATTTTTTGTTATAAAGTTGATATGATATATTTTTTAAAATAATGTTCATCTTCATTACTGAATATTTTGCAACATTAATTTGGTCTACGGTGTAGGTACCTACCCTTTTCAGCTACTGCTTTTATCTCAGGTAAAAGTACATGTCTAATACCAACGAGAGAGTGGTCCACCAACAAGTTCTACAACAAATGTTTGTCTTTAAATACAGGGTTTATACCTGGATCGACATCACCGTGCACCAAATTACCAGTAGGTTGATCATCTAAAAGATTATTTTAATTTTATTAGATCAAAATATCTGAAAACGTTCTTTATTTAACTAAATACATATACTTATCTATATGAACTGTTGTATATAAAAAATTTACAATTAACTTCTAAACCTCTTTTTATTCCAGGTACGATCTTGATTACAAAAATGTAAATCACAAACTCTATAAATCTTTTAAATATCTTGCTGTGTTGTATTTTCCATTTTAAGGTTTCGCACTTGATATCACTTTTAAAATAATGTAGGATCGTTCTTCGAGAATGTATGTCTTTTGGAAAACAAATCCGGCATCGGAACAACATACTTATGAAAGGGTTTACGGCCTGATTCCATCATTGTTTTTAATAAAAAGTTTAAAAAATAACTAAAATTCCAGTAAAACTTTTTTCGATTTTTGACGGTCCATATTATTTGATTAGAACTGACTTGATTTGATTTGAACTGCCTAAATATTTTCGCCTTAAGCGCGACCGGTGGTTCGTCACAGAACTAATAAATTTGTGTATAACTGGTTGCGGTAAAAAAGTCCTTTCAAAGATCTCAATTTCAGTTTCCCATATAATAATGAATTATAATGATAAAACAAGTGACATCTGTCCAAAAAAGACAGCGATTTAGAGTAACAATTTGGTTATAAAATTTGTGACAGTGACAATTTTGGTTATGTAAAAGAAATACATATTCTATAACTAAACGTTCTCTAATATATTCTATAGTTTACTGGTTGCCTAACGATTAATATTAATTTAAAAATAAATTTCCAACATGCCGCCCACCTTGAAGGCAACACCCTTCACCACAGCACATTGTCGTAGAGTAGTTTGGCCTCTTCATTCTTCCTCCTTGTCTTCTTGAGGTAATAGACATATCTGACTGCACGTATCAAATCTCCCTTCTGAGTCTTCAACGTGACAACTCGAACGGTCCATCAGATCCTGGATGAACTTCTATTATTCTTCCAAGTTGCCAACACAAAGTAGGAGCATTCTCGTTTTTAATCAGTACGAGGTCTAATATTGACAGACAACGGTTTTCCCCATTTGGCACGTGTTTGTATAGTTCTGGCAGAAATTCTTGACTCCAACTTTTCTAGAAATGCTGGAATTCTTTGATACTGTCTCAATCTGTTAACTTCAAAATTAGTCAAATCGGCTTCGGGTAAGGCAGTTAAAAGACGATCAATTAAGAAATGTCCTAGTATCAATGCCATGGAATCATTGGGTTCGGAAGATTTAGGATAAAGAGGACGTGAATTTAGGATGGATTCTGGTTTAGAACAGTGACAAACTTTTCGTAAGTTAAATTTGTAGTCCCTAAAACTCTCTTTAAATGTGAGTTAGAAGATTTCATACCGGCCTCCCAAAGGCCTCCGAAATTTGGAGATTTAGGCGAATTAGAATGCGAAGTAATATTATCAACAGATAAATGATCTTTTATTGAATTTGATTCAGCTTCCAATAATTTAGTTAGTTTCTGTAGTTCATTGTTTCCCCCATAAAGTTAAGACCATTGTAATAAAATATATTTGAATGTTGACCACGTCTTGCGATACATATTTTCAAAATTGCGATAAATGCAACTAATAATGATGATCTGGGTCCCTTCACCAAATATTCAAGTGTTTTAAATTATTGGCAGTAGTTTTTCTTGATAAAATGTCCGCAGGATTGTCCTCAGATCTCACATGGTACCAATCTTTTGTATTTGTTAACGACTGAATTTAACTAACTAACCAAACAAATGATTTCCATTTTGTCGACTCACCTTTAATCCAAGTTAAGGTTATGGTTGAGTCTATCCATAAATACTCTAAGCGTCTACTTCTAAATTTACCGATATTTATACCTTTCTGATCAATCGTGCTAATAAAAGTGCTCCGCAAAGCTTTAGTCGTGGTAGTGATACTTGTTTTGTTGGAGCCACCTTAGATTTTGCACAAAATAAATTAGTAGTTACTAAACCAGAGTTATTAGTGCAACAAATATACACACATGCTCCGTACGCTCATTCTGAAGCGTCTGAGAATCTATGTAGTTCTATAATATAACAATTGGAATACATAACATGCTTCGGTATTTTAATATTATCATAAATCAATTGACAGTTGTGTTCATCTAGCATAAATCATGTTTGGCACATTATCATCCCATCCAAACGTAAGCTTAAATTTTTGCTATTATGTTTATTGGGCTCAATAATCCCGGAAGATCATATAAATTTCAAAGATTTGTGATAAAATTACTCGTTTAGTTTTAGTTATATTGCCCTTATGTGGTACTATATTAGAAAAATACTGAATACTATCATTATACGCATTCCAAAAAATGCCTAGTGTTTTATTACATGCGTTCTCGCTAAATTCTGAAACACTAACATCTAATACATTGCTAATATTGAGTTGTTTTAGTATGGTTTCGTCTTTGCATAATCACTTACGTCGTTCAAAATCTCCTCTTTTCAAAATGTAAGAAATTTGTTTCTAAATAGTTAAATTTCTGATGCCAGTCAACAAATCATCTATGTAAAAGTCAGATTTACTTGCTAACGGAAACTCATGTTCATGATTGCAACCTAACTAATACAGACATTTAATTGCTAAATAAGGCGCTGCTGCCGTCCCATATGTAACAGTATGTATATAACAGTCTTCCGGAGTGTAACGTCAAAATATTCGTTGTAAGGGTTTTTGTGTTGGTCCAATTTAAATATTTCTATATATTTTAGAAATATCAGCACTTAAGAAATATTTATATTTTCTAAAATGAAGAAGAATCGAAAAAATGTGATCTTGTAAAGTTAGTCCAACATATTGTACATCTTTAAATGATAAACCACTGTCTGTTTTTGCTGATGCATCAGATGCAACCTTAACCTTTGTTGTAAGACATTTTGTAGATTGTACTACCGCGTGATGAGGTAAATAGTAAGATATAAGTATTTCATTAGGATCTGGTTTAAACTCAGACATGTGACCTAACTTTAAATAATCAGCCATAAAATAATTACAAAAATAATTAATATGTATTCTGTTATCAGATTATGATCCCTAATTAATTTTCTTTCCATCGAATGAAATCGATTTATTGCTGTTTCTTCCGAACTATCTAAATAATTAGTAGTTTTAGCAAAACGGTCTTCACAAAATTGTTCATCCTTTGATAAAATTTTATCTTTATATTCTGCCTCTTCTAATTTCCAAAAATTCTGTAGACTCTTTTGCTGATCTATGCTAACTGTACAACAATTTACTTGAATTATTTGTCTGGTTACCTTCAAAAGAGCCTGCTATTATCCAGCCAAATTGTGAATTTTGTAAAACTGGCAAATTGTCTTCTAAGTCTTTCTTAACCAGGTCACAAAATAGATCAAAACACAGATGACCCTAATAATAAATCTATTTTTCCACCTTGATCAAATGTTGGATCAGCTAACTGTATTTGATGATTTAAATTTAATGATCCTGAATGGTGAATTATTTAATTATCAAATGATACTGTAGGTAAGTTTTCTGTAATATTTTTTTTTCACTAAATACTTGACGCTTAATGAAAAATTGTTGTAACATGACTTTATGTTCACATCTACTAATCTGTTTATTGAAGTTGATATTTTACCTAGCCCTGTAACTAAATGATTTGTTTTAATGCTCTTTAAATCTAATTGTTCACATAAGGAATTAGAAATAAAGTTACTTTGTTACCCACTATCTAAAAGTGCTCGACATGATACAAAAGTGTTATCGGTTGGTAAAAGTACCTGACTGCTCAAATTTGTGTTTAATTTCTCTTGTACTGAACAAACTGATTTTAAAGCACAACCAGCTACTATAGGTTCAATTGGTATATTCCCCGAGCTATTACTTACTACTTCTGCTAATGCTCTTTCAAAATGTAATAGCGTGTTGTGAGACTTGTACTTTCTTCATTTACTTGTTGACTGGCATTAATCGCATCTATGTCCAGATCTCAAAGAATTTAAACATAATTTTAATTCTTTTAGTCTATTGATCTTTCTTTAGTATCTAATTGCAGAAACGACGGACAGTTATAAAGAGCATGTTCCTCTTTACAATGAAAACATGAAATTGTCCTAGTACTACAAACTTGTGATAAAATTACTTTATTTTTAAATTTAGAAATATTGTATTTATCCGATCATTATTCCTTATCTACCTTTGAGCTATGTGCTAAATGTTCTAAAATTTCACACCGTTTATTTAAAAATTTAGTCATATCTTGTGTTTCGACTTCCAATTGAGCCTGTTCAAATTCTTCAAACATTGATAAAGTTTTTTCGTGTCTAATATGCAGTTCAGAAATGATTTGAGGAGTTAAGTGATCCATATCCAACTCATCAACATAGTAATCCTTCTTAGTTTTCTATCGATAGCGTCTCTCTTTGCGATTACTTTCGCTATTGTTCAAAATGAAAAAAAATGAAATTAATAAAATATAGGTGATTTGAGGCAAGGACAGATACTGACAGGAAAGTTTTGGGAGGTTTGGAATCGACCCTTTTGTTTTCGTGGTCCAAAATTGCCCGACTGCCTTGCTCTTCAATGGTTATGGGTTTGGAATAGCCCTTTTCATCTTCGGGATCCAAACAATGCCTGAACTGCCTAGATGCTTCAACGATTACAAAAAATGCTTTTTGTTTTCCATGTGCTTTCTCTGTTTACCAATTTATCTCCATTCATCCGGCGCCAAGGACCAAATTATATTTGAAATTGAATTGTACTTTCTGTATCATTAATCCGGTAAATGATGGAGATAAATAATTGTGCTTGATTATAATTTTATTTTAAAATAAACTTTTTTAAACGACAGTTTAACAGAATTATAATGACAAGACAAGCGACATCTGTCTAAAAAAGACATCGATTTAGAGTATACTCTGTTTTTTTTCTCAGGTAAGATTTCGACAGACGATGACAGAAGAAAAGCAGATGACGTCCCATACCAATCTATTTATTTTACTAAAAAAAGTTTCTAAATATTTTTAAGTTATCTATGGATGGGTTTAAATATAAATCCGTCATGCGTCGTGTCT